AGAGAGAAAGAGAAAGAGAAAGATGACACTGAGGCTATCTCTGTCGTCATGTAATTGCAGTTTAATAGTATGATCCCTGTAAATTGTTAACCTGATCCATGTGGAGTATGAGTGCAGGGGGTCAGCTGTGTTTGTAGATATTAAAGCTGTATTCTGTGGGATAAAAAATAAAAAAAAATAATAATAATGAAATAAACAATTTTCTCAGACTGGTGGAGGAACACTTTACTGGAATAAAAGTAGCTATATCACACTTTAAAGATACTTAATTACAAGTAAAAGTCCTAAATTGTATGTAAAGGAACTTAAAAAGGGCGACATAGTCATGGAGACTGTAAGAAATACTATCACATATATCAATACTTACTTCGAAAAGCCCCTAAATGAAGATATCTGACCTCAGAAACATTACTTCATTGTGATACATGTGTTAAACATTTAATAGAAATAATATGTATGTAAAGGTGGCATTAGAAATCAATAAATCGTTTTATTTCCAAATCTTAAATTAGTCTAAAATGTGGCCATAACAGATTAAATTAATGTGTTAAATTTGACAGTATTTGATAGCAAACTGACTGCTGCCACCTCGCTAGATCATGTTAATGTGAACTATAATGTTATTACTGATAGAGACAGATGTCATCAAAAACTTTAAGTACATCTCTTCCAAACAAGTTATTTTGTTGTCATGTACACAACAATTACAGTGAAGCAGTTGTTGGAAATGAAATCCTTAGATCTCATCATGAGGAAAAATCTCATAAATATATATTCAGGGATGAATACAGATATAAACAATAAGTAATCAGGTAAATAAGCAGGTGGAGCCAGTGTAGTATAATATGTACAGTAGCAGTAATATAGTATAAAGTGACAGTAATAGGCCGGGTCGATTATCTGGCATCTTGAGGTAATTGTCATCAGCATAAAAGTTGTTTACTATAACTCTCATATATTCTGCTGTAAACATTTACCTAAATCTCCTCAGTCACCATCGTCTTTTCTAAATATTAACACTTTTCTACAATCCTGAATGACAAATTAAACGGTTCCTGTTGTAATAATAATGCTGTTAAATGATGTCTCTTCTGACTTACTGTAGCTTCAGTCACATCTACAGCATAAACTAATAAAAAATCCATATAAACAACATGTTACTGGCTCAGATAACTCATCGGTATTTATGACTGTGGTTAACAGGTGGATAATCCACAATTAAATGTCCAGTGTGTAACATTCGCTGGGATAGGGCGTCGACCCGAGCAGAAAGGAAGTGATAATGTTATAAGTATGTTTTGATTGAGTGTATAATCACCTGAATATAGGAATAATTCTGTTTTTGTTACCTTATAATGAGACGTTTTTATCTACAGACGCTGCTGGTTGCCTTCCATAGAGTCCGCCATGTTTCTACAGGAGCCCAGAACAGACAAACCAAACTCTTGGCTCTAGACACTGTTCTCATTCACAGGTAGTCACATACAGACGTGAGCTGTGTTCAGTTAGTTGCAATCTGCAGCTTCAACCGCTAAATGCCACTAAACCCTGCACACCGGTCCTTTAAGGTTTTATAAAACTGTTATCCGATCACTGACAACCTGGCTGACACTGACCTTGGCACAGGTGTGAATAACAAAATGAGTGATGGTGGAATTCATTTAGCCGCTTCAGTTTCAGGGTCCTGCCACACTGTGACACCTGAATATAATCATTAATGTTATTAGTAACACCTGTGCTTTCTATTACAAGTCATGATGTCTGCTGTGAAAAAAAGGCCTATTTCTCCACAGGATTAGCGGGGGACAGATGGCTGTTTCTAAAATTCACCGACCTGCTAGATATGCACTACTTGAAAAGCTTTCACATCAAGTGTCTAACCAATTCCCTGGTAACCTTTTAACCTCTCTAAGGTGCTTGTTAATTAACTTTACAGTGAACTATTTCATGGTTATTTTGGTGGCCTCATGTCACTATAACCTCCCAATATTCCTATTGTGAGTCTCTGTGCTTCTTTTTCTGCAGCAGAAATCTAAGTCTCTCGTCTCTCCACAGGGTGGGCCTGTACCAGCCATAATCATTATCTAGGCCAAGAGGTCGAACTGAGGCAATGCTCTTATTTGTCACCGTAGCTCAGTGTTATCTAAAGCTGTGGTTCAATGCCACCATCTTGTGGATGAACATGTTCAGGTATCTTATTATGGAATATTTTGTACAGATAATTCATATGTTTCTGCAATGTATTAGCCTATTTCTATTAAAAAATGCTTCCCCCCCCTTAACTTTCTACCTAAGGATTGTATTTTCTACTCCACACCCTTCCCATGGATGAAGGCATATTTTCTTTTCTTCTTCCCCTTCCAAGAGTGCCAGTGGGTGTTCCTTGTACCATTGTTTTAGCCGAACAGCATGGCTCCAAAAATGTCCCGTCTGTCTGTCCACTTGGTCCAGAGTCAACAACTATTATATGAACTTCCACAACATGTTGTAATGACATTCATGGTCCCAAGAGGATGAAGACTACATTTTGAACCATGATCCCTTAACTGTTCATCTAGCACCATAACCAGGTCAACATTTTAACATGTCCAATAATTTGCTTTATGGTCAAATACCTATACAGAACTAATTATAACATTCCCATCAGCCTTAGTTATAGATTGTGTTTGTTTAGCAAATGTTACCATGTGAACACACTATTGTTATTGTGAACATGAAAGACCAAACCTGATCTTAAGGTCTCATTGTTTGCCACTTGAGGACAACAGAAACAAGCTGTAAACACAACTGACACATCATCTTTTAGCTGATATGGCTAACATGTTATTGAACAGTTGTATGTTAGCATGTTGAGGTTAGCATTCAGCTCAAAGCACTGTGGCCTAAATACAGTCTCAGAGCTGCTAACATGGCTGCAGTCAGTCAATGAGGGATTTAACCACATAATGGATGTGTTTAGTTATATTAGTGGATGCATTTTATTTAAAAAGGTCAAGTGTGTAAGATTTAGTTGGTAGATAAAAAGCACTACAATGCTTACATTTGTTTATGATATATATGCAGAGAAGAAACATTTACATAATTAGAACAAAATATTCTACTCCACATGTATCATAAACCTTTGAATATAAAATGACTCAATAAAATTGGTTTAGAAACGTAAACGTTAACTTATAGTGCTTAAGTATTTGTTTACAGTCCAGTCATGCCTGGTCCAATATGGTGTCTATGTATACGTCTATGGTTGAGACTAGCAGCTTTGGTTGCTATCATTAAAAAGATGTATATGTGCTGACTGCAGGCATTCCAGTAGGCTTAAAATGCTGCTAATATGGCTAGTTGGAGGGATTGGAGGGACGTGATCATGAAGGCTAATCATCATGCTTTGTTGATATGGATTTTGAGGAGGCTCAAACAACATATTGGAAAACATTTAATCAATTCCCTATGGCTCTTTTAAATAAATAAATAAAAGCCTTCCATAAAACATCTGAAGCAGATGTCAAAAAAACTGATTTACTTATCGTTTTACAGATTTATTTTTGAAGCAGCATCATATCGCAAACAATGGTTCAACATTTCCAACTGAATGCAACACTACCTTCAGGGTCCCACTACACTGACAGCAGAGCAAAACAAACATTTCTTAAAATGCAAAAAAAAGAAATAAAAGATGTCTACTAAATGCAAAGAAATCCCATATCCAGCAAAAAAAAAACAACAACCCAAAAACCCCCATGATGTTAATGTTTTAAAGAGCGGAAGTACAGTATTTACAGATAACAGGATTAAAAGCAGACTACTGTACAACTCTTTGCTACATTTACATTCTCACACAGATAGGCTTAATTTCCAGAGTAAAAATAAATACACATCTGATTTCTATTACACAACCTTTTGCATGTCTTAACCCTATTAAAATAATTTTGTAATCATAAAAATCTGATACAGTATATATACACATACATTTTGATGCAGGTGTGTTTCCTGCATCACACACACACACACACACACACACGCTGTTTTGCATTCTCTTAAAATTGGACCACTTTCATTCTGAGCCACATATTTTGGTCTTTTTACATGCGAATTTGTATGCTGACGATGCATTTCCTGCGGCGCTTCTCATTTGAATCTGTTGACCGGGTTTCCAATGAGCTCGGGGCACTGCTCTTCGCCTTTTGCAATCCGGTCGCACTTTCTGAACAGGTCGTAGTTGATTTTGTCAGTTAGGACGCTGTCCTGCTTATACTGCGGGTGCTTCGCGACAAACTCCCTCATCCACTTGGCCATGGTCATCAGCTCGCCTGTTGCACATCAGCAGAATTAAGAGTTATGACTCAGCGGCGCACAAACAGAAAATCTTGGGGTTGTGAGAACATTAACTTTTGTCCTTTAATGTAAATTTACCTGAGGCACGTTTCTTGATGAGCTTTAGATAATTCAAAATAGTGCATCTGGTGTCCACATCAACTTCCATGTTTTCCAGATAGCAGTTTAGGATCGGGATAAGCCCTTGAAATACTCCCTCCTGGTGATGAGAAAAGAAAGGAAGCAGCAATTTATACATTAAAACAAGACAGAGTGTACAGCCACGCTAGCAGCTCTGTGAAGCACAGCAGCGATTTGAGCTAAATACTTATAAAAGGCCAGTGCTGCAACAAAGATGGTCTTCACTACAGCACTGATACACATTGCAGAATGGGAACACCAGGACAACTTCCCATTATTCCACTTCAGGAGAGAGGACTCGGCCTTGATACATGGTGCACCAGTTCTACCAGGTGAGCTATTAGGATGTGACACCGTTACACAGTTAACCTGTGATATTTTCTGGGACGCTTTAATACCGTGAAAATCTCTAATCTAACCATCACAACCCTATTACAAACGCGGCTAGCCTTGTAGTCACATGGTTTAAATAGCAAAAATTTGCTAGTTTTTATTTTACATATTTGCTGCAATTCATTAACAAGTGAAACCAGATAAATAAAACAGTGTATAAGCTCCTTTTAAAGTGGTGAGACGTAAACATTAACATTCAGTAAGCCATACTGCTAGCATAACTAAAAAAATCAAAAGTATGACAATAATAAGTATCAAATGTACGACAATAATCACCTTTCCATTGATGATTGTGTCAATGCTCATCAGCATGTATTCTTCATTGCCACCATCAGTCTCCAAGCCATTCTGAGCAGAACCAGTGCCATCGAGGCCCGGGTTGCAGCCTATTGGTGGACAATACAAATGTATCAGCTACTCCTATCTGAGGCATTCAACATAAGTGTCAACCTAAAGCGGCACTTTTTGTTTTACCCACCTTTAAAGATGTCCTTTCGGAAGTAAAACATGCCCTCCTGGACAGCGTTTCTCTTCTGTGCGACCTTCATGTTTTCATCAACCTAATGAAAGACATACATCATTAGGACCCAAATGTCCTACTTCATTAATTAAATATGATCTTATTTTATAAAATACTACAACTGTGTGGCTGTTTTTACCTTTGACAAAGGGATCAGAAAGTCCAGTTTATAGGACAAGATCACTCTCGTCAGCAGGACTACAAAGACCACGTACGCAGCATTTTCAAAGTCAGTTAGCTGAACCTGAAAAATAAAAGCAAAAATAAAGGTTAAATCACTCTTTTTTCTATATTTCTTAGGTCATATCATTGAATATAAACATAGATTATAACTAAAAGTCTAAGTTAAGTTATGGTGCAGTTGGTTATTACCTCCATGGGGCGGAACTCAACTCTCCAGCCGATATCGGAGTTCGGAGGTGGAGGTTTGAACCTCATCGTCTGCCAGTTGGTCGACTGGAGGTTCTGCAATCAGACAAGTTTGAATAAACAAAAGCCTGCATTGTGTCTTTTACACATAGTTTGCTGTTTTTCTAAGAATGTGGTTAAAAAAGGTCCAGTGTGCAGGATTTAGTGGCATCTAGTGGTGTAACTACAGAACTACAGAGGCTGCGAAAAACAGTAGAGTATTTTTTGGTTTGTTAAATACGATTCATTCTAAGGTAACAAAAACACAATGATTCCTATACCCAGGTGATTATACACTAATGAAAACACACCTATGACTATTATATTCCATTTGTGCCGACAGAGCCTCCTAAATGTTACACTCTGGACGTTTGAGGGATACAGAAAACCTCACCTCAAAGTGATCGGACTCGTTTTCATCATCCAAGTGAATTTTCTCCTCAAAGACAGAGAGCGGATCTCGGATGAAGAGGTGTGCTATGTGTTGGGCCAGCAGCTTGTCAATTCCTATACACAGAAAGCGGATAACTCTTTACTGCACAAGCATCTATTAGTGGTATTCTGACTGTGAAGGTATATTTCTATTGATGACAGCACGGTTAATACATTAGTATATCAGTTTCTCCAGGTGACAGTACCTGCATCGAGCAGCTGCTTGTTGATCTCCTCGTCTATCGTCAAATCAATGTCATTGTACTTCTCGCCACAGCTGGACAGGTAGCTGTCAATTGAATCGTATCTTGACTTGAAGATCCTGTATTTGTTGTTTTTCAAGGGCTGCAAAATGAAAAAGTCATTTTAATACATTGTCAAACTACGAAACTAAAGCCTAAACAGTTTTATTAGTAGTATCTAGGTGGTCACAGGTGGTCACATTGATACTCATTAGTGGTGGGAGAAGCAAGTGTCTGAAATTCTGATTGAATCACTCAATAAGTGGAATACAGAATTAATATGAGAGCTCGAACTAAACAAACAACTAAACAAAGCACATTCCCAGAAAGGACAAAAACGAATTAGTTTTATGGTTTTTCAGCACTGCCTGCTCACCTTTAGCCCACGTTCCTCTTGTGTCCTGTCATCCACCGAGGCAGAGATAACTCCCCAGCGACAATCATTATCTGATACAAAGCCTCTGTAGAAGGGCGAAGCCGCACTCAACGCCATCTGTAACGAGCCATATTTATTATATCTTTATTTAGATTTCAGAACAACAGCTTTTTTTTTTTAGTCAATCCAGTCTGTTTTTACCTTTTATCTGTAAATATCTTATCCTCATAGTAACTTTCTAAATATTCTATTCAATTAATAGACAACAAGTTATATAAGTGTCCAGCTGAAGAAGAGGTCAGGTTAATAATCATAATATATGGCAGGACACATGTTTTATTTATCTACTCACCACTATAGGGCAGAATGTCGCTAGTTGGTCATATAGGTATCTTGCCTCATCAATGCTACAAGCTTGGAATGTCACCTGCAAAAGCATCATAAAAAAAGAGGCTGAAGTACATTTATAACTCACTAATTGGGAATATACAGCTGCAGTCACTTTAAAGTCAAAACAGTCCAGGTTACACAATCTTTATTACATCACTGTTTGAAAACAAAAGGCAACAAAGACTCGTTCAGTACCTGGAGGCAGCAGTTGCCCATGCCAAAGCCCATGGCGTCCATGTAGATATGATCAGGCAGAGCCGCTCTCGCAGCTTCACCATCATCCTCAGGAAACTCTTCCACAAATGGAGAGGGAGTGCATTTGTCTTTGAAGACTAAAACACAAAAAGGAATAGTGTTGTATTTATTTATTTATTCCATGCAGTCTGAGAGACAAATGAAATGCATCAAAACCTTTAAAGTCCAACTGAAATCACATTTAGTCATCTTTTAGTCATGTTTTAACTATATATGGGAAAATATGAGAAATGCTTTCTTTTTGGATGGGCATGTGGATGTTTGATTGACAGCAGCTGGCCGGCTGCCAGAGTGTGGGTGATACACCGAAAGGAACGAGAGATAAAGTAAAACCTGCACTGTAGTGTTCAGGTCATGGTCAGATAGTGTGTTGTTAGTGGTTCTGAACAGTAAGGAAAACACCAACATCTAATCAAACCAAAGTGACATTTACAGGTATGTTTAAATATTACTGATTAATGTTACTGTTGCTGCAGCTAATTAGCTAACCAGCCTGAAGTTAGCAATGCATTTTTCCCTGGTAAAGGTTTGGTTTAGTTATATAAGGAGAGCAGGAAAGCTAATGTTATGTTAATGTATGAGGCTGCTGTCTGGCTAATTCAGTCGAACACTGCAGCTTTATGTAAAGATTTAATTTGCTGCATCGAAATAAAGTCAACTTCTACGCCGACGAAGAACTAATGATATTCTGTAAAAGTAATGCAAAGCTTAAATGTATTTAATTTCTCGGTTCCTGATTTTTTCTCAAAGGAGAAGAGAGGACAGGTGATTTACAGAGCAGATGTTAATGCTGTAGCAGACAAACAAAATGCAATTTAATTTCAGTTGGACTTACTTGGCACATTAATCGCGACTTTCTCTCCTCTTCTGTGACGTATGTTTCTGGTAAGGGTGCTGAAAAAGCAAATCCACACATGCATGCAGTCAAGTTTAAGCAACAAAAAAAAAAGGAACGCATGTATCGTCCGACTGGCACCTACAGTAACAATAAGCCAAAAAGAAAACCACCATCACACTCGCATACTGCAGCCTGACTGATGCTGGATTTTTGAAGCCAAAAAAGAACTAAAAACAACTTAAGCTCTTTAATTATCTGTTTATTTATTAGCTGATTCTGCTCATCATGACCAAAGGAGGCAATAATCCTGCAATTTATTTGTAAATTGATGTGGTTTTCAGATTAAAAACCATATCAGTGAGGCAACCACACATATGCACGCTGTCCTGAAGTCAGAACTATGAAGCCTACCTGAATCTCGGGTGTCTGTTGATGGCTTCATCTGGGAAAAACAGTGACTTGGACACTCCCTTTTCAACAGGGGTCGGCCGGTGCTCTGGTTTGGTAAAACCTGGGCAACCTAACCTAAACAAAGGATCAAAACAAACATAAAAATATTATAGGGCTGCAACTAATAACTGTTGTTATCAATGATTATTCAAACAATTATTTTCTCAGTTAACTTGATTGATTTGTCTCAAAAACAGAGAAAAATGCTAATAATACTTTTTCAAGATCTACCATTTGGACAATATTAAAATGTCTTGTTTCATCTGCCCAGCAGTCCAAAACTCAAAGATATGCAGTTTGTAATCAACTATAGAGAGAAGTAGGGCTGTGTATTAGCAAGAATCTGGCAACACGATATGTATCATGATTCAGGGGTATCTAGCAATTACACACAGAAATCAATACATGTTTTTGAGAATCAATACAATATGACAAAACAAAATATGAGAACACAATATTAATAGGTATTTTCTTACAACCCTAGAGAAAAGCATAAAATACGATAGAAAACTAAAATCAGATGCTAGGGAAAAACTGAAACGATAAATCCACAGTAACGCCAATTAAATTCTGTCGATCAATTAATCAACTAATGATGATGATCTCCACTAACAATTATTACAGATGGTTAGAGTACCTTGGAAATGAGGTGATGGTGCAGAGGGTTTCATTCTGGTTCAGGACCAATGAGGCCTCTCGTCGTCTCTTCCCCATGTTGCCCTCCACGGTGTTGAACTCTGACATGGTCCCGCCGTACGGCTGCCCTGGAGTTCCTTCAATCATGTAGCTGCCATACTCTGGTCTCCAAAGCGTGGGGTGACTGCAAAACATATAAAAAAGTGTTGTGTGAAACATTTTGCTGTTATTAGGTCCGCAAGGAAACGCCCTGGTCTCCATATCACAATGACCTTTCTGATTAAATAAACTGACCGCGCTCTCTTTATCGTATGTCAGCCGTAATCTTGGCAGGGCAAACGAACGCGACGTATTTGTGCTCCAGAGCGTGCTCTTTGGTGTGTGCGACAGAGGGGCAGTAATGAGGAATGCATCGGCTCTACTATTCCCACTGCCACTGGTATTTCCCCGGGGTGAAGTTGGCTCCACAGATTTAGACCGACGTCATGGACAGCGCGCAAGCATAACACTCATGAGCTTGTACAAACACATTTACACCGCCGGCAGAGATTTCCTCTTTTTTAAAGAAATGTCACTACAGTTAAAAGCACTACATTCCCAGGAGAGGCTCTGATTGTTATCCCGGACAGATCTCCTGAGGCAGAACAACCTCACTTCACCTCTACATTTGTGAGGTTTTAGATATTTCACTTTTGTAAAAAGGGTGTAAATCACTTTTTTTTAGATAGTTTGTATCTGTTTTTGTTTGATTTTGAATGCACACTTGCCTAAATAAAATTCCTGCAGCTCTCTGATGTTCCAGGAACTTTATATACATATAAAACGATACAACTATGTTAATAAATAAATATAAATAATGGGGAGGGTGTAACAAAGAGTGAATCTCCTCTGGGACACAGTGGGCCTTAACTATTAAAATAAAGTTTGATACCAACAAACAACATTATCATTATTTAGAATCATTATTTAGATTTCCCACCCTCAAAAAAAAAAAAAGTCTGTAAAACAGCACTTAATGATTGATAGTGAGAATGAGGAAACAAAAACTGCTCTAACCTGAGGAAGAACTCATAACATAAAGTCTCTTTCCAAAACCCTGTTTTTCCAGATTACCAGGAGGAGCTGTATGTGACAATGCTGGCTCTTAAAACTGATGCTCAAATAAAAACTTAAGTAAAGACTTGTTTACCTGTCAACATTGTGTTTGAAGGAATCAGACTTGTTGGACTAGTTAACTATTGTGCTTTGTGCACGTGAGCAAAAGCAAACAGGACTTGTATGTCAGTCGTCGTATGTAATATGAATGAAAAATGAACAGTGAATTTGATAGTCAAATTGACAGTCAGCGACATATAGACTTGCAGGCAAATTCAATACGTAGCAAACGAGAAAGGGGCAGTTTGACTACAGGGCAACGCTGCCTGAGTTAAGCTACTTGAGACCTGTCGGTGTGGGCAGAGAGGATTTCACCAAAAATAAAAAAGAGAAAACATTAGAGAAAAGCTAGAAATAATAAATATCTTTGTGTAACAGAAATTTATATCACTTTTCTCATCGCGTGACTGCAAAAATGTATCTTTGGAATCCCTCAGTGGCACCACCAGGTTAGAGACCACGCTCATTAATCGTTAGTTAGGAGGATCTATTGGCAGAAACTGAATGTAATATTCATAGGTATGTTTTCATTAGTGAATGATCACCTGAATATAAGAAAAGTTGTGTATTTGTTACCTTAAAATGAAGGTATATCTACAGAATGAGTGGGTCCTACCCTACAGAGGCCCCCCATGTTGAACCACCATGTTTCTACAGTAGCCCAGAAGGGACAAACAGAACACTGGCTCTAGTTCATGGTGTTTTTTGCCGCCATTGGTTTTTTCCTGCAACCACATGACTAGATGCCACTAATGTGCAAAGATGTGCACTGCTACATGCTTTATGTCTGATTCAAGGGTCTGTTCATGCTGAACTTGAGTGAAGGATGATTTGTTTTCATGTGGGGTGTCGTCGTTTGAGTTAGCCACGAAAATAAAGTGCTGAAGCGTAACAAAAAAATCAAATGGTTTAAATATCCAGCAGCTCAGGGAACATCTGCTTTGTTTGTATGTTTTAAAAAAAACAACCCTTAACTTAGCAGCTACAGGAGTTCATCTCAGGATCATACTGGTGTTTATTTCTCTGTCGCTGCTCATGTTTATATTTTTTGCATCAACAGGATCAAACAGGATCCGTTCACTCCTGAGAAAGTCTCACCAACCAAAATAAAACAACAGTGTGGGTGTTTAGTGACTTTAGTGATAACAGAACAAATACCTGTGTAAGTCACATATGTTGATTGACATTTATACAGGGTCTCATCTCTACTTTTTAATGATGAATGACATATTACGCCTAAGTTAACCAGATTGAATATAAATCATTATCGGCCACTCAATAGCTCATTGTGATCCAAAACAAACCATCATGCTAACAGCAGCACTGCCACAGCTGATGGTATTCGAGGTGTGGCTGTTTTATTAAATGTCATTCAGATTAAGAATGTAAGTGTTTCTATTTCTGTGGTGCAGTTAACATTTCTGAATATTACTTCCAGGAAAGAAAACTTTGGCTTGAACCGCGTATGTTGTTGTATTTGGGGGGAGGAAGGAAACAAGATTGAAGCCAAAAAAATAAATAAAAATTATTAAAATAAATTGTGGCCTTCCTCCTTTAAAACTAGACAGTATAAAGAGAGTTAGATCACTGGTTCTCAAACTACGGTATGTGTACCACTGGTGGTTCGCACGCTGCCTCTAGTGGTGCACGGAGGAACCTCTAATATTTTATTTTTTAAAAAATGAAATAAATGAATTAAAAACATACAATACTATGAAAATACTACAACATTTCTAATGAAAATACTGAAAGTCTGAGATCACTGAAATGTTATTGAAAATAAGTTTGTGATATTTTAATATTAACCTGCTATGTAGCGCACATACATGCATGATTAATTACGAGCTAAAATGTGATGGCGAGACAGTAAACTGAGGTAGAATGAATGAATGGTTCACAAAGAGCGCAATCATGGATCCAAACGGGAACTTTTGGGAACTTTTGGGACCGTTTTCCACCAAATTAGCTCTGGCTCTTGAACCGGTTCTGTTCAGGCTTCAACAGTTACATCTTTTAATCTGTCATATATTCAGCTGAATGAATGTGGAGACATTACTTACTTGGGGTTTATGTTTTCACCCTGGTCTTGGAGAGTTTCCAAAACTTCTCCACCATTCAGGACGAGTCGAACCTTTTCGTCCTTGTCATCCATCTCCACCAACATGTACTCAACCTAAAAGTAAAGAATTAAAAAAAAGCAAAAACAGGAAACATCATCAATCCACGGTCACAAACACTGCATCACAGCCACTGCTTTATTCATTCAATGTACTCTTCTTACTTCTAAATCAGGCTTTTCAATCCATGCTAGACTACAGCACAAAGCAGACGTTTTCAAGATCAGACTGGGACGCCATCACATCAATTCCAATTCATCAGTTATGTTTCCTTGACTTTGACTCTGCTACCCTGTAATCCCCTGTCTGAAAGAGGGATTAATCTATAACAACAGCATTCCACATTGTTCGAAATGAAAACACTTTGTTCAAGCTGTAGCACACTGAAGTTTTTGCGGGCTGGTGGCGGGCAAAAAACTACAAACGCAAAACCGGAGCGAAGATCTGAACAGGCAAGCGGACATAGCTTATGTTGTAAAGCAAGCTTTATGTTGAAGTTTACTCATCAGTGAGTGACTGCCTGAAGTTTATTTATCAGTGAGTGAATTATTAATATTAGACAGTTACTAGGAAACTGAATCAGTTGCTGTACTCAAAATGAATATTTATAAGCAGATGTTAAACATGTGCTTTTAGTCAGACAGAATTATTCTTTAGACACATTATTGTAAAATATTGAGACTTTGTACTAGAAATTCAATTTGACACTAGTGCGTTATATAGATTCATCCAGCAGTGGCAGCTTCAAAATGTTTTGAGTAAATAAAACTTGTTTCATTTGACAAATGAACAAACAGGGTTGACTATCACAGCTTACAGACATTATAAACTGTGACAGCAACCTGTGGAAATATTAAGGTATTACACAATAACATATTAAGATTATTTTGACATATAATGTGATTAATGGGGGAATGATGATTTTTGCAACACACATGTAATTATTACTACAAAAATCTATTAAAATGTGACATTTTTGGGGAGCCTGTGCCAAACAAACATGTTTTCTTAAATGTGGACAACAACATTTGTAGCACAGAGCATCTCTCCAGCACTAAAAGTTCTTCTTTATAACTCTGTTTCATCACATATTTGACCTTTTACCAAAGCAATGCAGCTCTTGCAATTTAGACAATATTGAAAGTTTATTCCTGCAGTGACAGTTAAGAAACAGTAAGGGGGAAAAAAGGGTAAGACTGTGCAGGATTGCATCATGCACGACCATCACCAGCACTTCACACACATTATCTGGTTCATTTTGAGTTTTAAAACATATATATATATAAAAACAGCTACATTTCTTACCTCATCGCCCCATTTCAACACATCTTTCTGACGCTCCTTCACCTTGTTGTAGATGTTGAGGAACTGAATGATGCCGTGCTTTCTGATATGGTCGGCATACTTCTTGGTTTCTTCCCAGTTGAGCGGAGACCCCTGTGACAGTAAACCCATCGCACAGACGAGGCTGGCAAGTGTTTCACTCGACTGAGGCTGCTTTTATTTAGTATTTTTTATTTATATATATATATATATGCACTTGCACGCCGAGCGTTAGCTAGCTAGCTACTTTGTCCCAACTCTCACGGAGCCAACATGAAGTCCGGGTCCGAACAATAAAGCTGCAGAGCTCCGGGTCCTTGCAGGGAGCAGTCCGGATGAATCCCAGGCTGCAGCGTGGAGGCTCTCGGTGCGGTGGAGCACTGTGCCCTGTCGGTAACCTTAGCTGGGCATCCAGAAGAAGCAGGCCCCGCTGCTCATCACCTGCTAATTGTCTTGGGTTAGCTCGATAAAGCTCAAACCCCGCCGGGAGCTGATGATATGTCTGTCAACCACTCGGGGAGAAAACACAAAACGAGCGCCCCTTCAAGGATAGTTAGTGCTCCTGTTATCGGACACGGAGGCTGTTAAGGTTGCGGCTCTGATGGACTGACAGTGAGTTGAACCGGTAGGTCGGTCGTTGTTCCCAATTTCCAAAGTGTGTGTGTGTGTGTGTGTTGCGCATATCAACGTGGTGCCACACACGTGATGTCGTCAGGCGGAGCGCAGAGCGTGATGATGTCACTATGACTCAGCATTCTTCTGCCGCTCGGCTCCTCCCACTGACCCACTGTGCTGCGTTCAGGTGCTCTCAGATGTGGATTTTTTTTTTTTTTTTTACTCATAGCATTAAGGGTGAAATGTGAAATAAATGTGATAGAGTTTTAAATTTATTTTTGCTTTTTTTTACGCAAAAAAAAATTCACTAGGAATCTAATTTGACACTAGTGCTGTTATTATAGATTTATCCAAGTAGCTTCAAAATGTTTTATTAAATAAAACTGTTTTCATTTGTAACCAATAACAACAGGTTTGACTATCACAGCTTACAGACATTATAAACTCAATCAAGCTCATTTGGCGTGAGACCCAGCCTATTCATTTATGTACTCTGTAGTGGACATTGGTTTTTGAGCTGTGTCTCTTGACTTATTTTAGCTACCCTACTAAGCCCCAATGAGCTCTAAAGAGGACATCCTGGCCTTTCCAAGTGTTTTGCTGGATTGCAGGTTGAGACAAAAAAAAGGAAAACTGGAAGACACTGGAAGGATATAGCCCTGGTGTTACTTGCCAAATGGGAAAGGACAAATGCATAAAGGAGTGAGGAAGTTTTCTCTTCCCAGTTTCAAATGTGCATTTAAACTTTCAATTTTAGCTATTTCTTCTTTCCATTTCAGAGGTGAAAATGTCCCTTGCCATTTCACAATATCCATTTATAATGTCAGTATCTAATTCCTTTTTCCAGTTGTTTTTCTGTTTAACGTTTTTATTATGATCTGTTTGGTCTGGGTAGTACAATTGCATAATAGTTTTCCCTTTTTATTTTAATTCTGGGTAAAATATGATGTTCTCATATAGCTTATTTTGTCCAACACCCAGTAATTCAATTTACATGGATATATGGCAGATAAAAGTACCAAATGGTCACATTTGACAAGCTGGGTCCAAAGAATGTTTGCCATTTTTTCTGAATTGAACTGTAGTCTACCTATCTTTTGATTGACTAATCAGTTAATGAACTAATTCTTTCAGCAGTTGTAACTCTTTTGTTTGTTGTAACGATTAGGCAAAATCTTCTTCGACACTGTTGAAGATTTGAGAAAGGGGAGGTAAATGTATCACAAATAATAATTGTTTGAGCAGAATCTGCCACAAGGAATTCACTGCTTGTAAAACCCCAACTCAAACCAGTGTTTGAAAAAAGCACATTTGTTAATAAGACAATTTAATTGATTTAGGACACAGTATGTAAGCCGTTCATAGTTCAACTTTTAAACCTTAGATTGATTGATAAAATTGATAGTGCCTGCCAGAATATGACGATATATGACGCAGCCATGTGCTGTTTTGTTTTTGTTTTTTTTTCTTATGTCATCATCACAAAGCAATTTACATACTTGGCATCTTGTCTTATCAGTTCTAACCACAAATGAATAAGTCATGTTTATGACTATATTATGGCTACCAACTTATCAGCAGCACTAGAATGCAAAATCATAGAAGCAAAAAGCTGATTGTAATAATGACACAGCACTTGAATCTGTTAAAGATTGCGTGTACTGTACTGTGTGTAGTGGATAAAAGTGTATAGGTCATTGAACTGTACAGACATCTGCCCAAAAAAGGAGGTGGTTTAACTTACACTGACAGTTTGTTTTCTTTGGGTTTTACTGGTTTCCATTGGATTGATTAATGAGATTCTGTTTGTTACTAGTCTTTACAAGTTTAGTTTAAGTAATGACTCTGCAGTTTTTCCAATGACTCTCTATAGTAACAATCACAGTAGGGTGGGGAGGAGTTCTTCAGGTCTGTGTGGGTGTTGTTTGATTAGATTTGACTGATGTTGCTCAACTCTGACTGGTGCTCAGAAGTATGTGACATTTAAATTTTTTTGCCTCCTGAGTCCCTCCCACTTTACATCGTAGTGAAAATCAAGGACAAAACCTCAAATAATCTCTGTTTCAGTTCAAACCTTAGCAGAAGATTTTGTATCCGAATAGGACCTTCAGTCATGGTTAAAAAACTGTCCTTTAACATTGATTTTATATGTGTTTCACAGTCTAGGCTGCAATGCCTCCTCTGCCTATATGACAATTCCTTAAATTTCACATTGTCGCTTGTTCCTTTCAAATTTCACTCTGTGGGACTAATGGACGATAGTACACGAACAATGATGCATTGTGCGTAATGTAATAGCCCTTTCATGTAATAATTTGGCTCATGTTACATGCTCTCACAGTATAAAGTATGTTTACAGTGTAAACAACTGACATTTTTTGTGGTTTAACAACAAATTAGAGGCAGAATTAACAGCTACAGGTAGCTGCAGGATTTTTCCCTCAATGCCAGTGAGCTTCAGGTTATTCAGATTGGCAATATACAATATAGAATCACTTACCTGCTATCTTCTTGTTCTGTATTTATGTAAATACTTAAAGATATGTAGGAAGTACACAGGTTTATCAGTTTTAATCTATACCCTTTGACACAATTGATGTAGGATTAAAGTAAAGAATGCATCCTTCATGATTCAACTGGAAAATGGAAATGTTGCCCTCTCAGTGGCCTCGTCTCTTGTTCCTCATGGTCCACAGATACTGCAGTAAACACTATGCAAATCTTGTGTAACTAAATCATTACATAGTTTTTCATAGCACACTTTCAGTCCAGTCAAGTCATATAATGTTAACTGTACTGTGGCATTTTCAACTGTTTCCCAAAAGAGTAAAAAGCACCATTAAAAAGGGCAAATAGAGATTACCTAAAATCCTGTGTACGTGTATGAAATGTTCATTTATGGTGGTAAAAAACAAACCTGAGCCCAATTTCTTTTTAAATAATTGTGTCACACAAATGCATCCCTCACAAAATCCACCCAATAAAATTCATTTTAAATAAATGACCATGGCTCAGAGTAGCTTACACTTCATCTCTTTAATTTAAAAACAAACAAAACAAATGAAAAGACATGAGCAGTCAAGGAATTCATGAGTACTGACCTCCAGGAAAGCCCAGGCCAACAACGTTATTCCAAAGTTATATTTTTCTTTTTTTTTTACAAAATTAATTCGTTACTGTCGCATCTAAACCCATTCAACCCTCATCACTCCAACATTTTTCCAGCAGAATCCTGATAGTGTTAATGCCGATCACACAACATATGACACAAGACCACTGAATGCTGTACATGAGACACATGTAGAGAAACTGCGGCCTTACTGTGCAGTGTGTTTAAACACTAACCACAAGCACCTACTCCTGGTAGGTGGTGCCAACACTTACTCCAGCTCCAGCTTTTTTTTTGCCTCTCATTACTCTGTTCAAGTATCTGAGAATCACAGTAGCTTTAGGCACCATAAACAAGACTGTCACAGAATCCTTTAATATTAATGGTTGTGCTGTAAAACAAACACAGTATTATTAATTGTATGGCACCGGGTTAAAAAAAAAGAAAGTTATGTTACAGATTAATCTCAAACAGCATTGATTTAGCATTTTTATACCTTTCATTTGAGTTTTAAGTAACCTGTCTGGATTGGCCCCAAAAGTACATTCCTGTTTAAAAATGTTAGTATGTCCAGTTTGTCTATCATAAACATTAACTGACCTTAATAATGCCAATTATATAATTAACTAACTATGCATTCTGAGAATATGTTTTTAGCACTAGCTTCAATTTGTTTAAAATCTTAAAATTACATGTTCCCAAATTTGTAATCTTTGGATTTTATCATATGTGTGCTCATCTAAAGAAAGTTGATCACCATTTAAAGGGATCGACTTGGCCCCAAAAAGAGGGACTGGTAGAGTTTAGAACCAGAAAAGCTGGAGACCCTTAGACATGTAAACTACATCATTATCATCATCTAAACCTTTATATACTGACTGGTGCAGAAGAGACTGAACTGGCTCTGGACTCTCGTGTTTTCCGTGTGGGTATGCTGACGACGCAGCATGAGATGCCGACTGTAGCTTCTGGCAATTCATCATCCTCAGTCCATTCATTGAGGTCAGGATTGTAAACCTGAATGCATTTCTTGTACTTCTTCTCGCCCTCGTTCCAGCCTCCGAGGAGATAGACTCTGTTGTTCAAAATGGAAATACCGGCCGTGCTCACTCCTGTGTGAAGAGGCGCACAGTAGCTCCACTGCCCGCTGTGAGGGTTGTAAGATTCGACAGCGAGGACATCCACCCTCTCCCCACGTCCTCCCAACTGGCTGCCACCGATGACGTAGGCTCTGTCTCCCACAGTGGCACCGCAGTGCCAGCCTCGAGGTGTGCTCAGACTGCTCTTATCCTGCCAGGTGTCAGTGGAGGGGTCATACGAGCACACGGCCCTGGAGTAGGCGTTGTTGATGTAACCTCCTGATACGAGGATCTTGCCATCGATAAGGGAGCTGGCATGGCAGCAGCGGGGAATATCCATGGGAGCTTTCATCTGCCACTGGTTGGAGGAGGGCACATAGCACTCCAGTGAGGCCTGAACACCATCAGTGTTTCGCCCTCCGATGGCAAACAGGAGGCCGTTGAAGGTGTTGAGGCTGAAGTGGGTGCGCCTCTGGATCATGTTGCTCAAGTGATTCCAAGTGTTGAAGCGAGGATCATATCTAAAGAACATGAGAGGGATTCACAGTTCATTTCTAATTCTAAACAAATTAACATGACAAATAAAAAGTCTCAATTAGTTTCTTACCTGCAGAAGTTGCTAACAGCATGTTTAGCCTGGTTCCTTGCATCATTCTGGTCCTCACCACCTGCAACATACAGGAAGCCATCCAAGACTGCCACACACTGATTAAAGCTCTTTGCTGGCATTTCTGTCAACCTATTCCACACGTTATCTGCATCTCTGTAGAGAACTTCTTTGCTGAGGGATTTCTCTGTCAAGGCAGGGCGTCCGCCAACTGTGAGAATCACCTTGAGGCCACCGCGTACCTTTGTTCTGCGTGACTGGAGGATGTTCTGTTGGTATGGCAGCAGGTGGTAATTCATGGCATCAACAAGGAGACGGTGGCACTCGGGGTCTTGCATCATTCTAGGCACAGTCTGGACATGATTCACCAGGTCTTGGGCAGAGATCGTGCCAAAGCGGATGTGAGTTAGGAGATCTGCCGCGTACTTCAACCTCTTCTCGTCAAAGTCCAACCATTTCATGGCGATCTGGAAGGCCGTGATCTCGGAGGGAAGCTGCAGGGAATCATCTGAGAGGAAATCACTAATCTGCTCATAGGTGAGCTTCAGGAACTGCTCCATCTCAGAAAACTCGATGAAGTTCTCCCGCATGAACCTCTGAGCTGCCTCCTTGGTGTCTTTCAGGTCATAGGCATCAGCGATATTGGCCACATACATGCAATTCTCCACGCTGAGCTCCTGCATGAGGAAATCACTGCACATCTTCACTAAGGTGCCGATCTGCAGCAGCATGGCTGCAGCGATAGTGCTGCCGATGCCGTACAGCGACAGGGTCAGCTTTCCAGAGTATGCATATGTGATTGCTGTGGCGAGGCCGACCGGTGAGAGGTCGTTCAGGTCGATCTTGTGGAGGGAGGAATCCTTCTTCAAGATGTTGCGAATATACTCGCTACAAGAGGCCATGACCACCTTGTGGACATCAAATGACTTTGACTTGGTGGCGACCGTTAGATCACAGAGGAAGCTCTCCTGTCTCATGTTGCTCAAACCCTCCAGGAGGTTTGGAGCATACACAGAATCATTAACTTCAGTGGAAATGCAGCTGAAGCCGTTTCCTCCTTCCAACAGAGTGTTTAACCCGTTGATCTTGTTGATGGGGCTGTCCTCGACCATTATGGTCATTTCATTTATGTCTCCTTTACTCTTTTTGGTCGTCTTGTTCTTTTTGGGTGCCATGGCTGTAGCAACAGAACACAGCCCAAACCTTCTGAAAATATAAATAAAACAATATAAATAAAACAAAACAAACAAAGTGTCATATAAGTCAGCCAGATAGTGAAAATATGATAGTGACCTGGCTGGAAAGATGAGGAGTTAAGGGTATGCCACACTGACAAGACTGAACCACATTAAAATAGCCTATTGTTAAAACTAGATTATTTCATGTGCCTTGAGGCCCTGTTGTCCTTGTATCATGTCTTTGTACTCTTTTCCAAACTAAGCAATAATGTCAGATCCCTGTTCATTTAACTTGTTTGGCTCTACGGTGAATGTTTTCTGACATTTTGGAGTAGGTGAAATGTATTTAGACACGACCAGCCACTGACACCTTTGAAAACATGTGTGCTGCCAGGTGATGCTGGGGTGAGTGAGTGCGTCAACATGTCCCTCTTTGCATCTGTCACAGTTTATCAGCAGTATGTCCAGGAATAGCAACGCTGGACGGCTCACCCATGACGTTCCTTTTATAGACTTTGGGACGTGAACAGCAGGCCTCATGTCCTCTGACTCTTTAAGTTCAAACTAGGGCAAATATTCATTTTTTGTCTACTTTCTTGATTCAATTGTGTTCTTGGCCTGAACAAGTCTGCAAATAACACAAAGACAAAAGCGTTTCATAAAAAGCCACTTCTCACATTAGTTACCCACAACCCTAGAAAACCTTAAGCTTACTGTCACCATGGCTATGTGTAAAAACTAATTTTACCACAAGAACAGCTTCAGACAATTTAATGACCTTTTGAAGCCCAAGTAAGTGAGAAAAGAGCTTTTTTGTTCAAACCTAACACGACTAACAAATGCTGAAGCATCAACTGCACCAAATTTCCCTTTCATTGCTAAAATACAAGCCAAGCATGGGAAAGCTCCACTTACCTGAGAAATGAAGTTGAGGCTGGTGAAGAAGGAGCTTGTGCCTCCAGTTACTGGAGCAGGAGAGAGAGAGCAGCAGTCACCCCTGCTGAAAGAGAGGTGCAGTTAACTCCTCCTCTTAGGGAGTGAGTGCCAATCAAGTATTGTGCAATGCATGTGGCCGAGTCCCCCCCTACCAATAGTGTCCTACAATAGCCTCCAATCAGTTGATGTCAACTGCGGGGGGCTCGACCTATATCCTCAGTGGGACATCATATGAAGAGCTTCATTTGGCCATTGTTTAGACATATTTCATTTGCTCTCAGTGACACAAAGAGCATCTTGTTTGAGTATCTAGAGTAGATTTTACTCCTCAAATAAAAGTAAACTTGATTTATTATTGGACGTGATCTTTCAGACAGTCCAAATGGGAATTATCTGAATGTAATTGGAGAAAACAGAAGTGTTGAAGGACACTCACTCAGAACACTTGAGCACCACTTCATTGCCAACACATTTAATAGTGTTGGCAAAAGAGTCCTGCGTGAAAAATGGTGACAGTGACCCCAAAAACTATGTCCAGCTCTTATTATATAATATATAATATCTTGGCTGATGTGTTGGTTGAGGAAACCCGAAAGGTATACACATTATAAAATACATTCATTTTCTCCATATAATCTGAGTTTGTCATGATCATATAAGTCATGCATCTCTTTGGGTAAACTCTTGAAAAGGAGAGCAGGATTTTTTTAAGGAGAGAGTCATTAATTATGCAAAAGAACAATCAGCACGCCAATCAGCAAGGATGAGACATATTTTAGTGTCCCAATATGTCCATTCAAAGGGCCAGCAGCTCCCAGAGAGGCTTGGGGGAAATTTCATTGAGGTGGTTTAAAGTCATTTTGTGATCTATAAAAACATGATGTCCTGAATATGAATTGTTACATCATTTCTAAACCATACACGCCGCATTAATTTCTGCCATCGGTTCCGCCCATTATAATAGTGTCATCAATGGGCGCGCGCTGCCCGGTGTGTGTAGACGGTTGCACGTGAATCACCGTGATGGCCAGCAGCTCTGATGTGGTGAAGAAAGTCATGCGGTGCAAACTTCAGCTCACAGACACAGCAGAGTCTGCTACGGTAGATACGATGTTCATTTATTTCACATTTAAGTGCGCACAATAAACGCAGCGTAATGGGAGGAATGTGCTGCCTTTAAGGACAGAAATAGTTTGCAAATGCACTCTCCAATTTGTGTCATAGGTGCATCGATCCAACCAATAATTGCTCCAGAAAGATTGAGTGTTGTTTCGGAGCTTCTTCTGTTTCTATTGGATAAACAAATTCCACCATCTTCCATTTATTTTTCTCTTTTATGTCGTGCATCCTTGATCATCCCCCACTCAGTCACGGAGGCTGATTGCATGTTTCAGTCACTGACATGTGCGCTACTGCCGCACAGCATTTGAAGCACTTTTCTGGAGTCAGGTTGTTCAAATGGGAGGTGCCTTGCTTCTAAATTTGGCAACTCCTCCAGTTGTCCAACTTATGGCTGCTGTCCATCATCAGTGGGGGGCACTTTTACGCATAGATAGATTTATTAATTGGCCAGGGTTTAAGTGTTCAGATCACAGTTAAACAAATGATAATTTAGTTGCACCACCTGGAAACACTGGATTCAGTTATATAGGGAGCCTTTAGATCAGCCAGCAGTTGCATTATCCATTTATAGTTTGAGGTAAAAGGAGTAGCCTAAGTGGGTGTGTGAGGTCCCCTTACATAGCTTCTGCTCTGATTGCACAGTCAGCAACTGTGGTGATCCAAAACCAGGACTACCATATTTGGCAGGTCAGGTTTACTTCAGTTTACTTCACCTTGTAGTTGCTTTTTGTCCTAAATGGGCATCAAAACCATGTTTAAACACATTATTGTTAATGTGTCATGTGTTTACTCTCTTTGCAGGTTCTAAAAACTTTGCAGAAACTCAAGGATCTGAATATCACATTAGACATTCTTGCCGTGAGTCTTTTGCAAGGAGTGTATTTCGTGTTGATATATTTGTATATGAATTTGGGGAATTTGGAAGTCACATTTTCTTTGACTGCATTAACTTCTGTCCACATATATATATTAGGAAACTGGAATTGGCAAAACGGTTAACTCATTGCGCAGACATGAACAAGCTGGAGAATTGGCCAAGTCGCTAGTTAAGGGTTGGAAAAGATTGGTCCCTAAAGAATCCACAAGGTGAAGTGTATTCAACTCTTTTAGTTTAATTTAATAATATACTGTATAATATGATTGATTGTGCTTAAGGTTTATGTGTTTGACATTTTTCCTTGAAGCAGCCACACAGAAGATGGAGATGCATCAGAGAGTTTGTCTGTAAAATACAAACTGGATGACCAAAACTGTCCAAATAATGAAAGTTTGACAATAGAGGAATTAAACAATAATTGCTTAACATCTCACTACAAGAACTCTTCAGATAAGGTCTTATTTAAAACAGGGAATGTGAAAGATAATACGGAGAAAGAATGTGAAGAACAGATAAGACACGAGGACCAGAATGAAAATCAAGAAAAAAAACAGAGTATCTCTCAGAATGACGTCTTGCCGAAGGAAATTGAAATCCAAGAGGATCAAATGGATAATACAGTTGTTTCAAAGGGGAAGAAAAGTGACCAGAGTAACAGAAAATCAGGAGACGGTGATATTCCTCAGAAATCCAGGTCTGATTCCAGAGAAAAAATCAAAAGCAGCTCTGATAGCGTAAGATTTGGGTCAGAAAAAGAGTCAAATAAGAAATCAAAGGCATCAAAAGAATCGCCAAAGGAAGGCAGAGAGTCTTTTTCATTTGAGTCCAGTGACAAGCTCTCAAAAACTTTAAAACTGGCCAATGTGAAAGACGACAGACCTTCAGGAATATCAGAGAGCTCCGAAGCCCAGAACAGAAAAAGGAAAAAAACGGATAAAGAGAAACACACCACTCTAAAACACAAACAAGAGTCTGAAAATACAAAACACAAAAACAAAAAGGCTAAAATGAAGCACAAAGATAAGGGAAGTGACAGCCGCCCTGAGGAGCCCTCCATGTCTTTTGAGTCGTGCTTGAACTATGACGCGAATGTTTTCAAGAGAAAAGAAAAATCTGCAGTCAAGAAACCTCCCAAAAAGATCAAGACTGCAGTAAAAGAGAAAGAAACTAAAGATTCTGGCCTGAAACTTCTCAGGTCACCTGTGACGTCTATAAAAGTTACCTCTCCAAAACAGGTATATGTGTACAGTGATCTTAAAGGTTTAGCTTTTAGAGTGCAGGTTATGATTAATATTGACTAATTATACCTCATTTAAAAAGTTTAAGGAGTCTCTGATGGACCTGATGAATATTCCTTTACCTGCTGTTCTGCCTGAATGTGACCAGTCATCCAGTGTTGATTACTTTGAGAGGAAAGGTACTGTATTTCTAACAAACTTGGCTTTATTTCCACCTTATTCCTGTTATTTCATCCTTAACGCGCTCCTCCTTTTAAAAATCTTTTTTAAAGTTGAGAAGGAGTCTGATTTCTATGAAGTCTCTGAGGAGTCGGCAGGCTTCACTGGTCAGCGACTGAACAAGAAGATGCAAGTGTACTCTGGTGCCAAGACTGTCTTCCTCCCGACCATGATGAGTTTGCACCAACAGTGTATCCGCACACTCCAGAATAATATTAACTGTGAGTGAAAGCACAAAGAAAACCCCTTTTTTTTTTTGCAAGGCTCTGATCAGTGTGTCAGTTTGTTGGATTTATATTTAGGTGCAGGGATCTCTTCTCAGTGCTCTATGAAACTGGTGGAGTCCCGTTTGAAATCCTTGAGCCGGTGTTGGAGAGGTGTACGCCAGAGCAGCTGCTACGCGTTGAAGAATGCAACCCAGTAAGAATGTGAATACATTTAGTGCAGACGCACACTTAGTGGCCACTACTATAAGGTACAACTGCTTAGCACTGCATTAGACCTGTTTGTCTCTAGTGCAGCTGAAACTGATAGATTCTGACATGATTTATCTTGTTATATTTATAAGTCTACATTTATTTAGGGTGAAATAAGGCCATCAAATCATGCCTGATAGAGGCTAACATTGTATTGGAAATCATGTGGATTCCCCTGAAGCATGAACTGTATTGATGTCTGTGAGAGTGAATGCGAGCACTATACTTTCTTTTAGAGGAGAAGCCATAAGGTCATTAAATCTAAACAACATTATAGACCGTTGGGAGTATGAATGTAATGAGTAAATCTTCCTATTAGATGTCTTGTGTGCAGAGATATTTACTGTGTACATCAGTCCATGTTTGTATGCTGATAGTTTAATGAATTATGATTAGTCAACATACATTTTAATAATTTAATATACAGCTGCTATAGCTAGATATAAAATGACCATATTATGTCAGTTGTCATATGTCCGGCCATTTTCTACTTCTTAACTGTATCTCAGTACTGCTGTATCTCATCCAAGCAAGTTTCAACAAGTTGAATGATCAATCATGTCTTTCTGCACACCGCACTGAGCTTTTTATTGCCTTCTACTTCTCTGACCTCCTTCACTGAGCTGCGCTATTTGTTTTATGAAGTGGAATAAAATCCAGGGAGTGCAGCTTTGAACCATCACGACTGGCCCCAATAATCCAATAGATCACAAATCTTGTCTATAATGATGTTTAGTTGAACAGTAACTTCCCCTCTTGACCACATTGTCTATATGCTAAGGAGCTTTGAAGGCTACTAATGTTAATGTTAATGAGCAGGTTTACCTACAGTGGCCACTGAATGTATGTTGGTTTAAACCTAAATGTTATAGACTTAGGGTAAATATCTAAAAGTGTATTATAGGTACTGTAAAAGTTGTGATGAGAAGAGAATTTTGTTTGAGCGTACGAGGGTTTATTTGCTCTAAGGTCTGTAATTGTTTGTTTCCACAGATCTACGTCGGAGTGACAGACCACTTATGGGGGAAACATTGTCAGAGGGACTTTAAAGACTCCAAACTTCAGGAGTATGAATCATGGAAAGAGATGTACGTCAGGCTGTCTGAGGAGAGGGAGAGGAAACTCCAAAGACTGACAAAAAGCATTGTCTCTGCACATTCTAGCAAACCTAAAGGTGAGTCTTTTTCTAATTACATCCATTGTGAAAACAGTTAACATGGGATAAGTAAGTGTTTTATATACACTGTATGCTGTAGAAAAATATTATTTAGTTCTTCTAAAGTTCTGTACACTGTAACACACTTTTAATTTTTTTTTAGGTCGGCAGGTGAAGATGGCATTTATTCATACTGTTGCCAAGCCACCGAGAGATGTGCGAATTCAGCAGGAAATTCATGGAACTGCTGTTCAGCAGCCTCATCAGCTCAGGTGCAGGTGGGTTTCAGGCAGCATCCTAAATATAGAGAAATATCTACACAGGTTTTGTCATTAGCTTGGGATTTTTTGTATTTTTTATTATATATTAATTTCAGCTATGTTGTTTTTCTAATTATAAAGTTCAGAAACAAACCAAAGATTATAGGAGCCATACTGGGGGGAATAGTTGTACATTTCTCAAAACATGAACACCTGCTAAGCCTTGTGCTTGCTCTGCTCCTCTGCCACATAAAAGCCCTTAACTACAAAGTGATCACTCAACAACAACAGCAGCTTAGCAGGGTCATAATCTGTCGGAGACTCGTGATAACAGTGGGTGAAATGCTTTTTGGGTGAGCTTAGCCGAACACAGGAATTGGAGCAATGTGCTGGATAAACTGGTTTTATTCTGGTTAGAGACGGCCTTTGGTCCTTTGTTGCAACATGGGATGTTATGCTCACTAGCTGTAGTGTAACCCCGACATTTGGAGGTAGATGAAGGCTGATTTTGTGTGCATTGTTTTGTAAATAATCACTCTTATGATGATTATTTCTTCAATTAAACAGCGTTAAGGTTCAGGACAACAAGCCCAGGCCGAGTTGTAATGAGCCCAGCAGGTCCAGCAGCACCAGTTCAGGGGCAAGCAATACACAAGACCCTCGCAAAAAAACAAGTGAGCTATTTAGTATTGTAGATGCAATGTTGTTCGTTTGGTACAACTTTCCAAACCAGTCCAGCTGGCCTGTTCAGACATTTTTCTTGTCTTTTCTGTTTTATCTTGTCTTTTCTGTTTTATCTTGTCTTTTCTGTTTTATCTTGTCTTTTCTTTTAAAGGTATACATACAGATCCTTAACATTTGACCATATCATCTACTTTCTTCCTGTTCACACAGGAGTTGCTCCAATGATGGCAAAGTCCTTAAAGGCGTTTAAGAAACAGCTGGGACGCAGATAAACTCTCTTATATGATCTTGCTATTTACAGTGTGTGGATGTGGTGAAAGTGCACTCTATCATTCATTAACTTTGAACAATAGAAAGCCTGTGTTTCACCTTTGGATTATTCTGTGTTGTTTGTGTAAATATACGGGCAGTTGCTATATTTCTTTTCTCTATAACTGTGAGTTATCTTCACTATTAAATGGACAATGAAATGAGCAAATGTGTGTGATATATTGTCTTTTGGCCTGTTTGAGCCGAGGTCAGTCGGTAGGTTATTTAACGGGGTTTGGCTCCCTCTAGAGGATGTGTAGAGAAGTGTATCATTTTCTGTATGTTTACAAATTCTGTCCTACACATCAAATTTCAGATTATCTTGGTGAATGCAAATGTTTTGATATCAGTGTGGTTTTTAATAATATTCCTCTCACTTCTAACTAATTGAATAAAATCAAAATGAGAAATTCTCTAAGCGTTAGAACAGGTAACATTCAATACATGTGTATTCAATACATGTGTATTTAATACATTAGGTTCATTGCTGGTTGTATTAAAATCTTTTCATATCAAATTGTTTATGTAAATGGGTCATGAACGGCACTTTCAAGCGATTAAACCTATAGAATATATTGACAGTTTATCAAGAGTTGATGTTTTGTTGTTTATTCGGGTTCAAACTATGTTCTCATCCACTTGATTTTGAGCCAAACAATCCTGAGAAGAGGTTGACAAAGTGTTCCACATAATGAAAAGAAGGCAGCTTGTTGTCTGCTCCCTTTAATCCTTGTGCTGGTGTTGTCTTTTATTGGGCGGGAAGGAATCTGCTGTCTGCTGCTTCTCAAGGGCCCTTCTTGTCTATTTTTGTGTCTCGGATATGTTCGGACAACTGTTTGAGATATTAAAAGGGAAGGCTGTGAAACTGCTGCAGCCTTCAGCACCACCTGTGGCAGCCAACTAAGACTGCACCATTAATCCTCTTTCATGTTTAATTCATTGGTTTGAGGTGAGTTTGCATATTTTAACCTTTTTGGAGGCTTATTTCTTGTGATGTAACCAAAGGTAAGAAAAGGACCGGAAGGAATTTTATAAATTGCTATTCCTCCTAATATCTAATAGACATAGAGGGTGCTAGCCTTGGACAGGGTAACAAAATGACCTGAGGGTTAATGAGGCTGTCCTACCACAAGGGGACCTCAGAAAGAGTGCTGTGGAGCTGACCTTGACCTTTGACCTGGAAGGGAGCGAAGAAAAAGTCCTAGTAGATGATTAATTCTTTAGGAAATTGAAATGAAGGCAGCATCTTTTATGTTTTGAGCCTTGACAGCTGGATTATGAGTTGAGTGGGATGTGATTTCATGTGGGTCCTGCTTTAGTACCTGATCTCGGGTCCCTGTATCCAATTCTAGCTTTAAGACCATCATTTCAGCAGATATTGTGCTTGAATTTACCACACAGCAAACCTAGGGTGGTGTAATGTTCCAGCATATGAGTACTGAACAAAATGCACAGAGGAGGAGGAGGAAGGAGGTCAGATTAACAGGAGCCCAGCACCTCATTTTTGCCTTATCTGGTAATGCATTTAAGCTTTTCTTTAACAAAAGCACAGTTTATATCCAATTTGCTACACATTTAATATCATACTTTTTTATTATAATTAACCACGAACAAGTCTACAATCAATAAGACTGTGATCTCCTTTTGGTGGAAGCAATATTGAGATGTTATAAAAGTAGCAATACCACAACCATCAATTATAAGTTCTGCTTTCAAAAGCCTAAAGTTGATATTGCTGCTTTAGTGGCCAATGTAACTCCTACTGAACAACGGCCAGTGTCTTTTCCATTAATATACCCCCTTTTAAAATGTTTTTACCCCCTGAACAGCACAAAACCAACATTTTTGGTAGAAAATAAATGCTTTTATGAAGAGGTACAATACACTTAAAGGCTTAATTTCAAATGTTCATCACTTAATTCATATCAATCAACCGATTGTTTGTTGTTGTGCAATAACACAAAGACGGCACTGTGGTTGCATTGAACTGCATATTTTTGGTAAGTTGCACATAGAAATGTTACAGAGAGTTAACTGCAGTGATGAAACCCTTCCAGAGGTTTTTAATAGCAAAGAAAACGATAACAGCGTCCTGGTTGAAGCCACAATCAGCATAATAATCACAGCGAGATTACAGCTGAAAACACACGTATTTCCTGTATGATGGTCACCAATAATACAAGCAATGACAGAACTTTAGTTTAGTTCTTCATTGTATTTATATTTATTGTTTATTTGAATTAATGCATTAACAAATAATTATGACTGTTTCAGGACAATGTTTAGAATAGAAATTAATATAATTTAAAAACAAGTGTAATTGTATGAGCGTCTCCTCCTGTGTGTTCTCTATATTATGTGTGTTAATAAAATGTCAGTTCAATAATATGTTAAAATAATTGTTATATTCAACAATAACAGAAGTTCAGAACAGAACGACTGATAAAAATGGTTGTTTGTTGACAAATTCATTATTTTCTTCTCCCTGATACTTGGTCATTGTTCTCTTTAGTAGTGAAAACTGTTTATATTTATAATACAGGACAAGGCTGTTTATGAATACAGCTTGTATTCAGCTCTTCAAATATCTTATATAATAATCTAAACTTTAAAAACAACTATTTATTTTAGTTTTCTTCACAGAAACGAACAATATACATTTAATTTTCTTGAAACCTTAAAATCAAGGAGGGCCCTTTGGCGTCCCCTAATGTGGGGGACTCCTGACCTCCTCCAGGTTGGGAACCACTGCTCCTTCAGCCTCACAGCTCTTCCTAGTTTCACACATGCTAAGATAAGATAAGATAAGATAAGATGTTCCTTTATTGATCCCCCGTAGAAGAAATTAAAATCAGACACAGCAACGTAGAGGAATGTAGTGCAAAAAGTACAGAAGTGTAAAAGTACAATAAAGAATCACAAAATAAGAATATTATAAAATATAAGACTATAATGAAAAATATATACACAATATGCAATATATATAATATAACAAAAAAACAAAACAACAGAAAATAAACCTATTTCAAATTATAAATACTATTTAGTCAAGTCAACTTTATTGTCAGATGTGCTATACATGCACGACATACAGCACAAATGAAATTTCAGTCCTCTCGGACCCACCAGTGCAAACATGCAATAAAAAAAAAATAAAAAAAATAGAAAAGATATAAAATAAACAATCTATCAAATTTAAACAAGACATAAAATAGACAATTTATTTAACAATTGTTACATTATTGCCATTATTATTCCTGGGTGTCCTCCCTCTAGCCGTGTGGCTGTGGTGGTGGAGGGGGGGCCCCCGGGGACAGCTTTGTCAGCCCTCCGTGCCCCATCACAAGCGGCCCTGTGCTGGAACGGACCATGCCAGAAGAGCGACCGGAGGGAGGAGGGACCCCGGAGGGAGGAGCAGCCCTGGACGGTGACGTAGGATTGGAATGGAGGGAAGTGAATATGTTCCGGGTCAGAAACTGGACGGGAGATAGGAAATTAACTCCGGGACCGAGAGACCCGGAAAAAAAAAAAAAAAAACTCTCCAATCTTCACCTCCCCAACACACAGCACACACACCACAACCAACCACAACCAACGCACCCGACACCGGAACGCCCCCTATCCTCTTCCCTAATCAACGGAGATGTAGCACTGGGCTTTTTGTACGCCCCGAGTTAAAAAAGCGTCGGAAGGAGGTCGACTGGTGGAGAAGGAGGGATAGGAACGAAAGGAAGGAAGGAAGATCATGAAAAAAAAAATAACCAGGTGGCGCGTAGAAACTAACAAAGTGAGGGCCCAGCCGACCGCATTCAATTGTTTCGCCGCGACCCTGAACGAAAGCTCGCGTCTTCACCAACCCGTCGGGGAGTTTAGTCGCTCGCTGGCGTTCTTTTTTTTTTTTTTTTTAACGGTTAATTTAGTTCAAAGGTCTAGTTCCCCGCTCTGTAGGCAATCTGTTGCATAGCCTCCTCCTCCCTTGTCTCCTTGCCTGCCCTCTCCCGCTGTCGGCTCTCCCTCCCATTCCCCCTTACCTTCGCACCCCCGTCCCCATCCGTCGGGTTTGGTTTTTTGTTTTTGTTTGTTATCCGCCACTGATGGGTGTTGCGGTAGCGAGGTTTTCCCCGCCTCCCCACCCACTTTACCTCCGTGAGTGTTTCACTGTAATATCCGGCTGTGGCGGTGCAACCCGTCATGGTTGAGTATGATCGATTAAAAGCGCCTAGCTGCTCGCTGCCTCCCTATGTGCCCTGACGAGATCGTATCCGCTACGGCGGAGTTTTGGAGGCAGGCTGTTGCTGGGATGCAACCAACTCCCGAGACCTATGCCTGAAGTAAAAAAAAAAATAACAAAAAAAAGCAAAGAAGCAGACCGCCTTTCCCTCTCTCTTTCTCTCTCTCGGGTTGTTTTGTGTTTTATTTTTAATGGCAGGTTTATTTTTGGTAAGTCCCTCCTGTTAAGGTGTGACTGACACGGAGCTTTTGCTTTGCTGACTGAGCTGATCATCCCGTGAGAGTCTGGTGGACCTGGGGACAGTAATTACGCAAGATCAGCGAGCAGGCACCATGTGTAAGGTGGAAAATGTCCCCCTGAAACTGCACCTCCCACTGCAGGTCAACCCAGAGTCTGTGTTGGGACCATTACCACTATTAAAGAGTACCAGGCGTGGGGCTGTATGGGAATTTAATGTGGAGATTTTTCATTAAAATGTGGCATTAAACTGGAAGAAACAGCTCCAGCTTTATTTTGGGCCTTCAGTCTTGGTGGCAGCCTTAGGATATTTGGAATAACTGGAAAGTTACAGGCTTCCTCTTGACCTCTACAGGACTGTGTTGGTGAGCTACACAGCTTTTTCCAAAGTGAAGCCAATAATGGAAATTTACCACAATAAATGTATGTTGCACGAAATACCTCGTTTGTTTCAGGTGGAGTTTGATAATAACGATAAAACCTGAAGTCGTAATCCTTTATGACTCAGTACCAAGATAAATGTACCCTAGAGTAATGTTTACTTTACGATAGAGGAAAGTGATATGAATTAAGAGGCAGGTAGAGGCTTTCACCGTCCCCAATGAGACAACTGTTTAATTTAATTAAGATTTAAAGGTCAAAGGGCCGTTAGTGACCTTATTAAATTGAGTTTTGACAACAAAAAAAGCACCTGGATCAGC